GAAGTTCCGACCACTTTCGGTTCTTCGCCATTGCAGCACAGAGTCCGTCCCGAACGCAATGCGAATTTTTCACATCAGCCAGCTTGTTTAGGTGTAATTGTCTCTGGTCCTTGATAGTCGCCTCTTTTGCTGCTGTCGCTAGATGGGGGCGGAGTTTCACGGTCACCAGGAAATGGTCGGATCTGATCTGATCCGATCTGATCTAATGTCCGTTCCGGGCTTCAATCATGAGGAATCGTGGAAGGAACTTCGCCGAGGGTTGTTGTTGAGGATGACGTGATCGACCTGGCTGCTGAATTTCCCTCTCGATGCTGATTCCCTCGTTTGTTGATGAATTCTTTTGTGTGAGAATTACGATCGTTGTACGAGACGCAAACGGTCAATAGGAGGCGTCCATTGCCATTCGCTCGCCATGCTTGTGTTGACCTAGCACTCTTGGCCAGCTCATGTGATCGGCTATTTCTTGCGCGTTGAGGTCGCCAATGATGGTTTATAATTGATGACGTAGCAGTGAGGATAGGACTTTGTACAGGCACTCATGAAACTGGTCCTTCTTCTGATGTTTTGCCACGTTCGTCGAGATATACGACTACTATGTTTAGTATGACATACCGTCTGGCAAATTTGCATTCAAGTACTCGACCGAAAATAGTATCTTCGCTGCCTTGAAGGAAAGGAGGACAGCGTGTTTTACTTCTCGGCAGTAGTCTTCTCTTCTCGGCCAACAGAGCAGCCATTTATTGTCCAGCTGCTGTTTCCGTTGGCCACGAAGTCGCGTTCAGAAATTTCTAGAATGTCCAGCTTGTATCGGCTTGCGGTTCGGGTTCGGGTGACGTCGTCCAACTTTCTGCCGTTCATACAACATCTGGACGTTCCAGTAGCCGATCCGTATCTTTTTTTGTGGCGTGTTGGCACATCTGTTTGAGAGGTTTTCTTCGAACTCCGGACGTGCCGGGTTCGATTCCACACGAGGTCAGTATTTGTCTTATTCACAGATTCCTTTGAGCAAAGATCATGCAGCCGCACAATGCCTCAGACCGTCGTTGCTTAGTGGGCACAACCTCGAACTCACAACTGATAGATCCTGAGTTCAAACGCCGCTCGGAGGATCAGTCACTCGCCTTTCTTCCTTCCGAGGTTGATAAATGAGTACCACTCTATGGCAAGCAAGCAAGAGACTACATGTTACGCTAACCATATTGATATAAACTGCCTGTTTAAAAATAAAGCACTCATGAATGATGGATGATGAAACGGAAACGCAGACCAGCACCTCACCATGAATAGAGGAGTGCAAGGGGAAATGCTCCAATCTGCAAGTCGAATTTCTTGGTTCGAACCGTTATTTCAGAGTGTCAGTGAGAATCACACATAGTAACGTTAGTAGTTAGACGGAGCGCAGCAAGATCTCAGCTGCACGGGCGATCGCAAAACGACAGCAATGACACGGTATAATATACTTATTACTATACGTTTAAACTTTAACCGTACTTTATTAAATACTGAGGCTAACGGTAGCAGAACCTAAAATATAACCCTACGACCTAAACATCCCGATGTGGAATTCTGTCATTAGTCATGTATGATCAAAATGTCATTGCATGAAATTCCCTTAGTTAGATTTGAAGGAGTGACATTGCCAGATATTCAGCATACGCGAGGCATTTGGCCCACCGCCCGCCTTTCAGACGTCTGATGTGTATCTGTGCGATACATCTTTCTCCTAGTCTGTACACATGCAAATACTAGATTATGTACCTAATTCTTGTGCGGTTAAATCCTACTCTAACCTGACCAGAAATTACTTCCTTTTGTTTGGCAATTTTCGCGCATAAAACCATATTGTGTATCAGTGCTGACCAGAAATTGCCCCATTGTGTGTGCTTGTCTTCCTCATCTTTATCTGTCATGATGTTTTATCCTTGATGTAGGCTGTTTAAGACTCGTGATGTCCGTCCGTGTTCAATTTTGATATTAGCAGCAATTAACTGCATCGTCGAAGGAAAGTTTCTTCATCCATCACAGATCTTCGTTTGGATTGTTGTTGCATGTGTTTGGGTGTTCCCATATCAGCAGATGACGAGCCAGTGACGCTTGGTCGCAAAAGACAGAACCTCACCAGTCGTCCCTCTGTCTCTCGGCACCTTCGATAGTCTTGTGAGGTCGACTAGTAACTTAAACTCGACCATTTTTTATGTGATCGTTTGATGCACTTGAGTAGGCGTATCTGCCTCGATTTCTGCTTGCCCATTCGCTCGCTATACACTGAATTTTCCTCGTTTACAAAAAACACAACTTCCGGCGTCGTCTCGTTTTTGTAGAAACTCATGAACAATCAGAAATAGTTTGCCCTAGGTTAATTAGTTGTCAAGGAGTAAAAAACGCAAAGCGAGGTAAGAAATGACAATGTTCAAAATTTAAATTGCGGTAATTTGACTGTGACAGCCTCTTCTACCGTGGGGAAAGTAGAAAAGGTGGCGATGATAGTAATGGAAAGGTGCCGGCGTTGCCGTCGCAACAGGGTGCACATTCCATTTTGAGTTAATCGCCTTAAGGGACTGTGGCATGCTGGGTTTTTTTCGTAATGTCAGCGTTTTGCGACATTTGCCTATCGTCTTGTGAGTGAACTGCATTTCCAGACACTCTGTTTGATTTTTCGTCGTTGAACACATCGAGGACATCTCATTTCGAAAGTAGAAACTTCAGGAACTCCAAAAGCGGATGTTAATGAACATAGCATCGCACTCACTGCGCAATTGTTATCTGTCACGTTGCAGGAAAGTCCCAGCAGAGCAGGTGTTGAAGCCTCGTGAACACAGATGTGTCGTATAATGAGTTCTGACATCTAATTTCAACTCTTTAGTGAGTGAAACATCTTATTTCATAGATTACGGTAGAAGTAAAATCCATGTCTAGAACGTGTAGAAAAACGATCCTAGTTGCACTGTAAAGTAGAATGGCTCTGTCCGCAGTTCCGGCAGCTGTGTTTTCCTCCAGCAGTTCCATGGTCTTTGTTCGCGAGCGATGTGGGGGGTCTCTGCTTGGTAAGTGCATGCAATGCAGTGAGTTTTGACACGAACGTCGTCACTTCGATCGCTCATCTTGGGGCGATTTAAGTTTAGAGGATTTCGTTTTGTCATATGACGTTGGCAACGTTTAAACAGCAGATGAAATAGCTGAATTTATGACGTCTGAAGTCTCCAGACACCGTAAGTTAATTCGGACTTCACTTCGACACGATTTACGATATCAGTTTAGCTGAAGTTTCAGAGCTACTGCTGTATTTCATGTAAAGTAACTGCAGTTTGTTGAGAAACTCAATAAACAGAGTCCAGGTTTTAGACTCATAAGGCGAATTTGGTACAGGAAACTTTTTTTCGAATAAGCGAAGGCCGGAAACCGTGCCTGCTGCGAGATCTTCGCTATGCCTTCCCCAGAGGAGCATTTTCTGCGTTCCAAATAGTTGAAGTCCCAGACGAGGTATACAAAATCAATCCAGCATGACTTCCTTTGTTCATGATCAAATTGTCAATGAACATATGCTGTTTAAATTCGGTACTCTCATTGTCACACTGTTGCAACCTACCCCAAAATAAGGCAAATTTTCATGGACCTGGTACCACAGCGGAACTTCACGTTTGGCAGTTACTTCAAGCTTGACTCTGTCTACAGATAGGCTCGTCTCTGTGAGGTGCAAAATCGTTGTGGAATTTCCTCTGAATTCGAGCGAGATGGTTGCGCCATACCATGAATCTAAACTGAGTTATTTAAGTGAACTAATAATTGCTACATAATGGTTTCATCCAAAACCACTACCTTATTCAAATCGCAAACTTTTCTTTTACAACATACTATTTTAAAGTTACGTTTGGCATTTGGTAGTTTCATTTTGTTCTGTGCAACGTATACGAAATGCAAACAACAGTGGGAATAAGAGATCAACCGGTGAGTGAGAAACGTTAGCGGACTTGTCCATGAATTATTGCAACTGCGGTGACAGACGCCGTCTTCGTCTGGAGTCTGAAGGAGAAGCTGTATGTGTTCAAGTCGATTTTTGTCCGTCTGCTCACCTGTGGTGATGAGCGATGGGAAACTGTCGAAAATGTACCACTGTCTTATGTACATGCGGCCGAAGTAGACGTCCTGCGGAAAATTGCAGTGTTGAAGCTACTCGACAAAGTTTGTAGCGCAGCGGTGCGTAAAACTTCTGTAATCGGGCCACCACTGGAAGGTCACTCGCAGTTACGGTTGTTCGCCCTCGTTTCACGAATCTCACTACAGTAAGTAGCGAGGTCGTTAGTTACCCTCGGTCGGTCAACAGGAAGAAGACCTAGAAGAAAACTCAAAACGACTCGACGTGAACGTGCCAACGAACGTTGCTCCGAATTGCTGCGGGATTCACGTTTCTTGCAGACAGGTGAGGCGGCGATGATGCGAAATCGTGCACATTGGCCACCTTGTCACACACTGCTACCTCATACTCAGAAAGACAGGCCGACAAGCCGCTCACCTGCGAATCAGTCTTATTGACTGACATCTTATGTCCTTGGGCGACTTTCAAACAAGCATCCAGTGCTTGATATTTAGTTATGCAATTAACAGCAAGTTATGCAAATTGTCTTGTATAGCATATGCCAAAGTTACAGCCGACAGTAAGTTAAGGATCGTTGATGCTCCGTAATGATCACTGAAGGGAAAGATGGACGGACTGACGCCATAACCATGGTACTTCACCGTTGTTCGTGCATCGCGAATGGCAGCGGTGCGAACTTTCCCTCACGTAAGAGCTGACCGATTCTCGTTCGATTGTCATCGTTTCGGTGGCAGCGCTGGGGTGCCGCACCGCACATCGGCCT